CACCCACATCTGTGTATGGGGGCATGTGACTCACTCCTCTTCCTCTCACAGGACAAAACCAGTGAATGGGGACTCGCCAAGGCATACAGCTGTTTTACACAGGGGTGGGGAAAGTCCTACACAAGATCAAAAAAACTAGAACTTGAAGCTTACACAGGACTCTCAATTCCCTCTAGAATAATGTAGTGTAATATAGGTTCGCAGAAATTAAGTAAACCAGTTTGACCTCTCATGTAGACAGACAAAAATGATCAAAATATGTTCCATGTGTATACAAAAGGCACTTGGGGCAGACGCCATAATACATGTAGTGCTCTAAACTAAAACCATCTCAAAGTATTTGCTGAGCATGGCTATAAGAATACATCGTTATTTCTTTACATACCTTCATTCAAGCTGCCTTTACCCTCAGTTCGTCTTTTTTCCTGGATTTAAAATAAAATATGATATTAGGTATATTCTTTAACATGAGAACACAAATCTATTTGTTAAACAAACGACAAAATCACACTTTACATTTGTCAGACTACCAAAAAGTCTGAGAGATCGGATTTCAAGATGAGGTTTTTGGATAATATTAGGTTTTGTTACAATACTTACATGGACAGGACGTTCTTGTTCAGCACTTCCTTTCTTCACTTCTACAACAAACAAATTAAAACGTATAAAAAAAAAGTGTTCTCTAAGTTTTTCTTCTTTTAAAAAAAGGTATGTAAATACGATCAGTTAAAAAGGTACAATGCCTGTGTCCATGCAGTGTCTGCCCATACTCCACCTCTGGCCATGTGTATTTAACTGGCCACGCTCCCTCACCACCTTCCCAATGGCGCATCTCCGTCTGTCTATGCTACGGTGATGAATGTTGAAGCTTAGACCACCTGCAATGGTCAGACCTGGTGATTGGCTAGAACATGCTCCTTACCCAGAAGCCCTGCTCCACTTAGGAGGGCACTGGCAACGCAGGAAAGTGACAAGAGCATGGATAGGCAAGTATACATTTCTAGGGGGGAGCAATGCCCATTCATAGAAAAGTGACAGTATGCAAAGTGACAGCATCTCTTTAAATGGCACATTTCATAAGTGCCCATGTTTTAAAACCATGTTTCTGTGTACAGCTCAGTGTGACATGCAGAGGTGCAACCAGCTACATATCTATAAATTAAATGCTATACAAAAATATGGAACAACGTTACACAATGAGTTAATGTAGTCTTCAAAATAATTCAAAATGTGTACTCCTTGGAAATAAAACTAGTTTTCCTTTTATAAATAAAAAAAAAAAAAACCTCAGAGTTTTAATGTGAATTTCATGATCCTTACCGGCATCTGCGTTCATTGATAACAACAGGGTGCGCTTTTTTGGAGGTCGTCCTCGTTTTCTTTTAGGCTCCGGTTGTTCCTATAAACAGGAAAAGGTGAGGGTCGGTGACTACAATGGTAAACAAGCCAATGGCAGTCCCAACCAAAAGCTAAACCTATCCCACCATCAGTTAAAGCCAGTTTCCTCCAAGATATAAAAATATAAAAACACCTGCTTCATCCCCAAAAAGTACACCCCCCACAAAAAAAACACTTAAAAGATCTAAATACTAACCTAAAAATGTCAATAATGTTACGCACAGGACCCCAGGCATCTTCTGCTATGTGGTGTGGAAGGGCCCAGTGAGCAGTGCCCACGCCACAGCCTGGTGATGTGGGTTCAGCCCACTGACTGCTAACAGTGTCCATTATAGGGTTCTGAAATTACCCCAGTGTGACATCAAGATGAAGGGTGTACACAAGATCGGTCAGCTAAACAGCAGAGAAAGAAGAGAGGGACTGTTGATCACCTGTGCCTGCTACTAGCAGAAGCAATACTTGGGTGGTGCTGGTTTTCTTTTTTAAGATGGGCTTTAACAAATCTGGCAGTGGCACAATACTGGCAGTGGCAGTTTTAGCTATGAGTAGGAGCTAAAGTTGAGGCCTACACGCCATTGCCTGGGACCGGTTGCCCCAATTGCACTTGAGGAATTGAAATGTACCTGCAAACAACTTAGTGCCTGTGTACCTGCTCTACAGCCATATGCTTCGCTTTATACATTTAATATTTGTGACAGATTTGCTTTAAAAATGGAGTAAAGATAGGTGTATGTGGTGGCACATATTTGATAGAAGCTTACTTGCCTCTTCAGGCTTGATCTCAATTCTCACAGAAGCAGACTGGGATTCTATTTTTTTCTCTTCCTTTACACTCTTTTCTTCCAAATGTTGATTTTTAGACCCTTAAAAGAAAAAAATATATAGAAAAATGGATTAAAAACCCGATGGTGCAAATCACAGACATTACACATTTCGATTGCCCATGTTCCTCTGAGAATAATTCTGTGAAATCAGCAAAGAATGTTTACTGAATATAGTTTAAATGACAGGGGTGTGGAAATTTTAGAAAAAACTACTTGTCCAAGGACTAAAGTGGGGGCCTGATCTACTTGTCCCTCGTAACAATCTACTTGTCCTGATGCAAAAAAATAATTTTAACCAAAACCGTATTTAGCAGTGCTAAGAAGCGCTTCTCATTGGTCAGCGTCGTCAGGTGACAGCGTTGACCAATGAGTGCTTGCAATTTGCGAGCAAAATTCACAATATACGGAACAGGTACAGATAGCACACCTGTACTGGTGGACGGGAAGGACCATTGGCCGAAAGGTAAGTATAGTGGGAGGGAGATTTGTGTGGGTAATTCCATTTTCCCAAATTACTTGGGAAAGTGAATATACCCTTTAGGGTTGGTGCAGACTTGGCCAATCCCGGGACGCGCGATCATGTGCGGTTGCATACAGCGGTTGCGTCCGCATGTATGGGGTTACATTTGCATGGCAATCGCTGAAAAAAGGTACATGTACCTTTTTCCGCGACACGCACCGCAAAGTGTTTTCAACTGCGATTGCGTGGGTCAGAGTCTGTCACAGCTCCACGTGTTCTGCTCTGTCATTGCTCCACGCCCCCTAATCGCAGCGCTCCCCGCTCTTGCCGCTCAGTTACAAAAAAAATGAGTCCGTAGCAGGGCTAAAACACTGAAAAAAAACACTTGCCCGGCGCCCGGAACTACATGTCCCGGGCGTCGGGCGATACGAATTCCACACCCCTGAATGAAAATAGCTGGAGATGAATTGGTGGTTATGAATTGACTGTTGGTTTTCAGGAGCCGTTTTAAAACTAATCCAAGTCCAAAGATCCCTTGCGTTCATATGTTTGGTCCATCAGTCTCAGCAATAGGGATGTCACAATAAAATGTATATTTAATTAGGAGGAGGCTTAAAACCAGAATTGTAGATGGTATCACAGCTTTTAAGTCCGGGAATTCTCCCAGCAGAAAGAAGAGATGATAAAAAAAAAAAAAAAATCAGCTGAACAGGGAATGAATGAGATTGACATGTAAGTTATGTAAACTGCTCTGGATATTAAAGCAGACCTGCATAAGGTTAAAAAAAAAAGGTTCATTATAACTAAGGATGCACAGATACTAGTATCGGTGTCGATACAGAGTATATGGACGAGTACCCGATAACAGAACGTCCGGTATCAGGAATCCGGGTGACAAGTCATAACACGCTGCCCAAGTTCCTGATTGGCCGAGAAGCTGGCTCCATGCTCCCTCATCACCAGGGAGCTGTAATGACTCGCCGCCCAGCTTCCTGATTGGTCGGGAAGCAGGCCAATCAGGAAGCCGGGTGGCCAGTGATTAGTGCCCCCCAGCTTGCTGATTGGCCAGAAAGCAGATTCCATGCTTCGTCACCTGGTGACTAGGGACCATGGAGGCAGCTGCCTGGCTAATTGGGAAAGCCGGGCAATGAGTCATTACATGCCGCCTGGCTTCCTTAATGGGATTTCTGGTATTGGCATTGGCGAGTACCGAAAAAAATAAAAATAGGATTTTGGTACTCACCGTAAAATCCTTTTCTCTCCGTTCATTGAAGGACACAGGGAACAGATCGGAGATCATGTACTGTAGGGTAATATCGCCACCTGCAGGAGAAGGACGCTAGGCACAAAAAAACTAAAGACCAATTACAGCCTAGGGGCGGCCCCTGCCGGTGGCCAAACCCCCCACCTACTGAGAAGTCTCCAGTTTAGTAACAAGCAGTAAAGGAGTACACACCCACATAGAGGGGCGGGCCCTGTGTCCTTCAATGAACGGAGAGAAAAGGATTTTACGGTGAGTA